GCAAGCGAAAAGCAACAAGTTGGCAGAAGAAGCATCAAAGATAGGACTTCAGGTGAACATAGAGAAAACAGAGGTGACGAAGATCCCTGGGCAACACCACCAACAGCAACAATAACAGACAGCAATCAGCATAAATGGAAGGAATCTAAAAGAAACAACCTCTTTTACCTACCTGGGAAGCATCGTTTCAACTACAGGCCGAACTGACGAGGATATCAAAGCAAGAATCGGAAAAGTAAGACAAGCTTTCACTACTCTCAAGTCTGTGTGGAGGTCAACAGCATTCGGCATCAAAAATAAGATCCGGATTTTCAACTTCAACGTGAAGTCAGTGCCATTTACTATACGGATCAGAGACTTGGCCAGCGCATCATAAAGAGCACTTCAAACAAACTACGAACCTTAATCAACAGCTGTCTTCGCTCAATACTCAAGATCAGTTGCCTGGTCAAAAAAGATCAGCAACAGGGATCTCTGACAATGAGCGAACCAACCAAGAACCGATTGTGAAACAAATAGACAGGAAGAAATGGAGATGGATTGGCAACACTCTAAGGAAACCATCAAGTGACATCACTAGACAAGCTATTGCTCGAGTAGAGTCCGATAAGGAAGCGGCGAGTTGGTCGTCAGTGTTTGGGTGACTTGGAGGAGGTCATGTGAAGAGGAGATGAAAATGTGTGGGCACACTTGGAGCCAGGTGAAGACTCTAGCAGAGAACCGAACGCAATGGAGACGCACGGCTGAAGCCCTATGTTCCTCTAAGAATTAAAGGAGATAATAATAATCACCTTAATTGCAACTGATCGTTAATTTGCATTGGAATATTTGCACATTTCTCTTCGTAGTTTTTTCCTTACAAGATTTTATGGTAGATTCTTCGCGAAGTAGTCTATATTGTACTTCTATTAGACCAATACTGACAATTCAATATTGTTGATTAAATCTCAGAAGAAGTAAACCAAAGCACAATAGACAGCCAACATTTGCTAATAGCATCCATTCTATTATGAATAAAATTTAATTTGATAAAGTCTCACAGTGTGTTATACAGTAGTATTTACTCATGACCACGTTTCGAGCACAATTTATAACTGCTCATAATGATATCAATTCCAGGACAAAATATATAGACAAACAGAAGGTGTAACAATGCGACCACCAATATCCATTATGGTAGCAGATATCTGTATGGATGGATAGCTGGGAAAATATTGCTCTTAACACAACATTTAATCCTACTCCACAGATATTGTGGAGATATGTGGATGACACATTCACTCACAGTGTTAAAAACAGAACACATATCTCTAGCTTCTCCGCACATATAAACTCACTAGTAAAGGGAATAAAATTCACATTTGAATCGAAAAATGAACAGGGAGAATTTGCTAAGATGTTAGATTGTAAAATAAAACGAATAGAATAAGGTATACTGCACACTTGCGTTTATAAAAACCCAACGCATTCTGATAATAGATGTGTAGACTTTAATTCATCTCATCCGTTATCCATCTGTGAAGGCGGGTTTAGTTGATTGTCTAACAAACCGAGCAGTATCACTAAGTAGTACATCAAAAGACCTAAATGATGAAATAAAACAGATAGAAGAGGCGTTGGTGTTAAATAACTATCCTATAAAATTCATTAGAGAGATCGAAAAAGGCCAAAAGCAAAATAAAAATAATCGTGAAACTAGTAATGGCAACAGAGATAAGAAAGAGTATAAGGAATATGCAGTATTTTTACCATACAACGATGGAGGGGACATCTAAGAACCTCCCTACTTAGGATTCTTAATAAAGCAGGAATTAGGGTGGTGGCATTCAAACCTACGAACGTACTCGGGCAGGGACAAGCTCTGTAGGTTA